CAGCTGTTTTTGCACAAAATCATGCCAATGTAGACACCGCTTTTATGTTTTAACCAAGAAGAAATGATCTCCTGTCACATGATATAGCATCATTTGAATACATCTATTAAATCTGCCTTGTTTTCCCTAGATTTTTGGCTCACATTTATTTAAGTGCCCAAGCTGAGACACCTTTAAAGGGGCCTCAGTTTCACAGCTCTTTGGGGATAGGGGCCAGTTTTTTCTTTTGTTCGTACCAGGCCTAGCACAATGGGATCCCGGTTTATGACTGGGGCTTCTAAGAACTACTGAAATAATTGGGTTTATTTAGTTTAGAAAAGAGAAGACTAAGAGGGGACATAAAAGGGTAAGGAGTCCGGGAGAGCTGGCAGTACTTTAAAGAAGCCTTATTAAAGGCATAGGAAGAAATCATCCCAATGCGCAGTAAGAAAAGCAAATATGGTAGGCAACTGATGGGCTTACCAGGGAAATCCTTGGTGAGCTTAAACACAAAAAGGAAGTTTATAAGAAATGGAAACTTGGACAGATAACTAGGGAGGAGTATATTGTCAAAACTAAAAGTGTTGTCTGTGTCATTAGTCAGGGTTCTTGGGGGTTGTCCTGGTGTGCTCCTGTCAAGATCTCTACTCCGTTGGTGATAAACTTTCGGCTGCGTGCACGCGTGCGTGTGCTCCCTTTATCTAAAGTTTTAGACCCCTTGCACTTGGGTGAACACAGGAGAGCTCTGAGAACCCCCAGAAATGACAGATTCAAGTAAGGATAAAAATCAATCTTGCAGGTTTATTGTCAAATGCTATGCATTAACAGTTGTCAGCGTAAATTCTCAACTCCAAGCCACTGTGCATTTTGCATGCATTGACAATGTACCAACACATAGCAGGCTTATTGCCAAATGATGGATATTAACAATGGTTAGCCAGTGTTACGCCACTGTGCATTCTGTAAGTCTCGGCAATGACACCTGCCGTTTCAGGTGCTTAGAGCGCACACCCCCAAGGTCAGGCGGAGCGCACCCTTTGCGATGTCAGATAGACAGGTACAAACAACTTATATCACTTCTTTATGTACCAGGTTGCCACCCCTTACCTTACGGAAGGGGGGCTTACTTACTATCCTTCATGCTGTCAACTTTGGCCTGGTCCTGAACCAAAGTCGGTATGTACATTACATTAACTTTGCGGGGGGGGCGTCTATGTACCAAGACATTTCTTATTAAGATGTGCCGCTACTCCCCTTTGGCTTACAGTCTGTACTTGGTGCCTTCCTATGTCCTTCCATGGTCGACCTAACTTACACAATTATCAATAGGGCCTCTTTCTTGGCTCCTGTGTTAATGAACCAAAGTCTTGCTCACTAGACTGCAGGCCTGTTGCTATTTTTATGTTACAGGCCTTTATTCAGGCCTGCTGACTCCATGTTACCAACCTTCAACTTACTATAAATATATTGCTCGAGATGGCAGGCAAGTAATCAGGAAGGTGAAAGCGAAATTGGAACTGCAGCTAGCAAGGCTGTGAAGAGTAACAAAACAGGTTTCTACAGGCATGTTAGCAATAAGAGGGTGATAAGAGAGGGTGTGGGAACCTTACTGGATGAAGGAGGTAACCTAGTGACCGATGATGTGGGAAAAGCTGAAGTACTCAATGCTTTTTTTGCCTCTGTCTTCACAGACAAGGTCAGCTCCCAGACTATTGCACTAGGCAACACAGAATGGGAAGGAGGTAGGCAGCCCTCGGTGGAGAAAGAACAGGTTAAGAATGATTTAGAAAGGCTAGATATACACAGAGCCATGGGTCCAGATTTAATGCATGCGAGGGTACTGAGGGAGTTGGAAAATGTCATTGCAGAGCCTTTGGCTATTATCTTTGAAAACTCATGGAGATCAGGAGAGATCCCAGATGATTGGAAAAAGACAAATGTAATAATTCCCAATTTTTAAAAAATGAGGAAGAACGGCTCTTGCACAAGAGGAGGTTTTTGCGCAAAAAGGAGCTGCATAGATGGCTCCTTTTTGCACAAAAGCTTCTTGTGCAAAAATGGCCCCTAATTAATTATGCAAATGAAGTGAAGATTAGCATATTGTCACTTCATTTGCATAGGCTTTTGCACAAGAGGGATGCAATGTAGACGTAGCCTGAGGGATTTGGGCTCATTTAGTTTGCAGAAGAGAAGAGTGAGGGGGATTTGATATCAGCCTTTTTCTTCCTCAAGTTACGGTGGGGGAGGTCTAGGTTGGATATTAGGAAAAACTATTTCACTAGAAGGGTGGTGAAGTACTGGAATGGGTTACCTAGGGAGGTGGTGGAATCTCCATCCCTAGAGGTTTTTAAGTCTTGGCTTGACAAAGCCCTGGCAGGGATGATTTAGTTGGAGTTGGTCCTGCTTTGGGCAGGGGGCTGGACTTGATGACCTCCTGAGGTCTTTCAGCTCTATGATTCTATAATAGCAGTTTTCAAGTACCCAAAAGGAGGGAGAAGTAAGAGGGAGAAAAATTGTTCTCCTTGTCCTATCATCAGACATCAAGAAGCAGTGGGCTTAAATTGCAGCAAGGGAAGCTTAGGTTGGATATTAGGAAAAACTTCCTGTCAGGGTGGTTAAACACTGGAATAAATTGCCTAGGGAGACTGTGGAATCTCCATCACTGGAGATATTTAAGAGCAGGTTAGACAGATATCTATCAGGTTCCCTGCCCTCATGGCAGGACCAAGCATGGTCTATATCGTCCCTGCTAGATGTCTGTCTAACCTGCTCTTAAATATCTCCAGTGATAAAGGATTTCCTAATGTCTAAACTAAGCCTCCCTTGCTGCAGTTTAAGCCCATTGTTTCTTGTCTTATAATCAGAAGCCAAGGAGAACAACTTTCCCCCTCTTCCCTGTGAGACCCTTTTAGATACCTGAAAACCGCTATAATGTCCCCTCTGTCTTCTCTTTTTCAAACTAAACAAGCCTTGCCTCATAGCTCATGTTTTCTAGACCTTTAAATCGTTTTTGTTGCTCTTCTCTGGACCTTCTCCAATTTCTCAACATCTTTCTTGAAATGTGGTGACCAGAACTGGACACAATACTCCAATATTGACATGTGAATCCAGTCACATTGAGTAATAATTCTTTATTTTGTGGTTTGGTTTGAACTGCTCTGTGAGAGTCTATGCCTCTCCTCCCCCTTTACCATCTAAGCATTGTGCCAGAGTTTTTTTCTGTTTTAATTTGGTTTCCTGAGACATCTAGCAACCAAGTATGTTTTATCGTTAATTCAGCTTCTAAGGGGGTTTACAAAGAATACTTACATATTTAGCATAATTTCACTTGCACTACTGCAAAGTCTGTAGGTGTCAAATTATTTAAATATGATACATCCTCACCATAAGGCTGTTAAAAGGTTATCAAATCTCTGCTTCCCAGGTATGGTTAAGGCCCTTGTCTTCTACAGCAAGTGATCTATTTAATCACTTCTAAATCCTGTGCTTGCACATCCTAAGAACAGCCTTACACAAAGGAGGTACTATCATAAGCAATTACATTCTAACTTAAAGATGAGAAATTATTTTTACAGCTCAGAACAAAATAACTACAAAGGTCATTTCTCAAAAGAAAGGTAATAAATCTTGATTTTTATGATGGTTACTTGGCCTCTGAGGCAGCTGAAGAGTGTTTGCGTGTATATCTACAGAACTTAACTCACACAAACATATGTATAAGCACAAAGATACTGTATCTACATACACAAGCACTAACATACTGAGAAACAATCCACTGCTCGCACAAAAGGAGCACTATCCCATAATTCTTCTAGTAAAATTTTGTCTCTTTCAAAATGGATTCTGAGTTCCTGAGTCTCAAAAAAGAGGTGATTTCAAGTGTTCACCCCGTTTTAGGGAAAAAGCACTTGATAGTGGCAGCAGTTCCTTAAAATGTGTTATGATGGGGTGGGGTGTTTTTGTAACCAGTGCATGTAGAGGCAAGGTTTTGAAGCACTCTTGTGGCCCCCTACCTTCTGCACTTGGAATGCCAGAGTGGGGAACAGCCCTGACAAACTTAAAATATCCAGGACAAAATCTTAACCTGACTGATCACCTTTGGAAAATTTAGGCCCTTAGTTTTATGACAACATTGAAAAATTTTGCTACTAACTGAAAACCAAAGCATAAGGATACTGTTATTCTGATATCACAATGCAGTAAATGTTTTCTGAATTGCCACCTCCTCCTCTTAGGAGGTCATTTGGCACAGAAGAGCATGTACACAATGCTTTATGGGCTGGGCACTAGACTTCTGAGGGGAGAAACTGTGCCATAAATCGAAGTGACCAATTTACTTTTCAAAGCTTACAAAACGGTTGTAAATATCAATGAAAGGAGAGCAGAAACCTGTATTTATGGCAGTGTTGTTCTCAGTAGGGAACAAGTACCTCATTGCTGTTTATTCTTATGCCTCTTGACCTAGCCACGTGAGGTTTTAACTTGACACAACCTCAGGTTTGGACTGATCACATTAATATAAAAAACTGCTCCATAAAAGTGCAAGCATAATAAAGAGTACTTTTGCCGACCAGCAGCGTGCATAACATTCTCAGTCAGCGCTCAGTGTTTTTAGGGCTTGCAAAGAATTAAGATTCTGGGAGCACATGTGCCCTTTCAAGTCACTTCGTACACATCATTTTAGAAGAATAAAAAATGCAACCATTTCCTTGATTGTGAGTGCAGAGCTGCAGCTGGCTACTGGATAGCACCCATACTTCTGAATATCAACAGGCCTGCTGGGAAAATTGAAAGGCCATTTTACTAACATAGCCACTATTATTAAACGTTTGTTCCTTGTACTGCATAAACCATGTTTTTAGAGTACAGAATGAAAACTGCTTTGTTAAAAAACCCATGGGTTTTCACATTACAAATATCAGGTTTTGAATTCCCACTTTTTGCTGGGGAACTGATGGGACTGTTTGGGGCTTTTTTGTTTGAGTTGACCAATAACCTTTTTTTAAATAATACTTCAAAAGTAGCAACAATTTTTTTTTTTATCAAATCACGGTGAAATTTTTCCAAAACTTGTTAATGACAAGAACATTTGTAAAAGAAACAGAAGAAAAACTCTGTACTGCTTTAACTTTGTTTGACCAACATAGAATGTTTTAACAAACATTAGAAAGTATAAAAAATGCAAGGAAACTTTGAAATTGTTTCAAACAAATAGAAACTTCCATTTAAAAAATGTCAACTACAAATGTACTTTAGAATTCTTTATACTATCAATTTAACCAACCCAACACAAATATATGAAATGTTTAGTAGTCTGAAAATTTGCCCTGCTCTGGTTATAAAATTCACCCCCTCCCCCACTCCAAGAGACTGAAAGCTGAGTAACTGTGAGGAAAAGATCTTTTGTTCACACCCATTTAACTAACTCTTGAGAAGCAGGAGAAAAGTATGTTAAAGATTCAGCATCCTTACCTATTTTCAATTAAAGGTTGAAAGTTTCTAAGTCTCTGGCAAAAATAGGGACAAGTCTTTATATTCCTGCTATTTTGAGATTCTGTATGCAGGTATTTACTTGAAATGCTGAGAGATTCCTTGTTTGCCTTAAAAAGCATGAAAGAACTTCCTACCAGTATTTATTTCCCACATTTTTTTCTAATGTTGCAGAAGCAAACTGCTCTGCATAGGTTTACTTACTGCTTTCAATAGTGTCAAGGATTTTGAGGCAGGAACATGTCCAGCATTGAGAATAGCATTTGATTAACTCTTCTGCCAGTTCAGATTGTCAGGGTTTGCTCACACTTTAAAAAAAAAAAAATACCCGAGACAGTGTCGCCTAATGGATGGGGCACCAGACCAGACCTCAGGAGACCTGGGGGCTAATTCTGGCTTTGCCATTGATATGGTAAGTGAACTTTGGCAGGTCATTCTGTGCTACAGTTTGCCCAGCTATAAAAGGATTTCAGTGATACTTGCTTTCAAGAGCAAGTATAATATACAGTATATGGGCTATAATTATGAGCAGATTAAAAATGAATTTCAAAATGTTTTGATAGGGAGGTAAAAGGGACAGATTTCCCAATACACTGTCCCCACTATCACACCCCTCCATTGCCATTTGATGTGAAACAATTGCATTCTATGCACATTCTATTATCTTAGCACAACCAAACCCTGACTTGCTTTCAGTTATGATAAGAGGAAGCTGCAAACCAAATTTGGTGGTCCTAGCACTTACCATTTAGGAGGAGTTCTTGAACAAACAGACTCCGACAGATAGATGCACAAACTCTCTAAAATACATAGTAGATTATTTCCAATAGTCAGATTTGAATGTTGTTAAAAGCACAGTATTGTTTTATTGATATGTGCACTTCAGTGCCAGTTTCTTCCATGACATTCTCATTTTCACAAAAATAAGGGCCATGGTGCTGACATGCCTTTAAAGCGATTGAACACCAAAGTCTAGATTAGAACTCCTACAAAATAGGTTCCAGCACATTGCCATTCCAACTCAGTAGCACATTATATATAACATGTCAACAGAGACTAGTGAAATTACACTGAGAAGAGAGAAGTGAGAAATTAAATCTCCATAGAGAAACACTAAGGAGACAATAATATGGGACTCATTCTGTTAACCAGAGCTGTTGGGTAATGGGCAGCATAGCAATATTATTTTTCTTCCTATCTTACTGCACTGGCACTTGCAAAAGGTGAACTTCACAGCAGGTCTATTTTAGCAACGGCAGAGATCCACAGCAAGAAACCTCCTTCCAGTCTCCCCCTGCTCTTTTAAAATCATTGAAGTCAATGCTATTACACCTGGGATGTGTTTAGCCCAGTAGCTTTGTTTATGAAGGTAGGTAAACACTGACTCAAACTTTTTACAAAGCTGATCTTTCATTAGCAAACTAGAAGGAAAAGGTTGAATACAGCAAACAATTCCTGACAGTCAAGACAAATTAACTAGCGATAGTTCTCATGTTACCAATGCCATTTAGCTTAACTTTCCAGAGCATGCCAATGCAGCCAACAATAGGTAGGAGCTGTTTGTCTAGAATGTCCTCCCACATGATACTAGGTGTTTTTGTTCTGCATCACTGGGGAACGTAATCCACTTCTAAGGAAAAAATGGCTCCTCTCCCACACCACAAGGTATTACCAATCAGTTATCTAAGTCATCTGTAATTAATTTCTTTTTCTTCTTCTTCCTCTTTGCTTGTTGTTTAGAGACAGTGCTCAGAGCAGATTCTGAGTTGCTCACTGGTGAAGGAGGGAGGAGTAGCTTTCCAGACTGTGTTGGATATTTGGTCTTCATAAGGACTTTAAATGTTGGTTGTGATAGCAAATGTTTCAGCTGCTTTTTCATTCCCTTCAGCATCTTTTGCTTCTGACTCTCTTCTTGCTCATTTGATCGTCCTCCTTGGGGGACAAACCACACTACTGTCAGATTAAGCCCTAGATATTTTGCCAGCAATCCTCTGATAATTCCTCATATTAAATAGGGAGAAGTCAATCAATCAAAATCAGTCAACACCACATGGAGACTTTAAATTTAAATCTAGAAAAAGACTCATGCATGTAAGGCTTTAATTTTAAGGTGTTTAACTCCCCTCCCCCCCCACCCAAAAGAGACTAAAGCAGCATAGAGTTTTCTGCAAATACAGCTGGTAGGAAAGTGGGCTTTTTAGTGGGAAATTCCATCAAAAACCTGAAAATATGGGATGTCTAAAGAAGTGGAAGTTTTCCACAGAAAGCAGGCACCTTTCATGATTTCTCTCTGTGGAAACTCAATTTTCAAATGAAAAAAATGACAATGTTTACTAAGGCTAATTATAGAAGAATAACTACCCCTTGTCGCTGTTTGACTCGGTATTCTGCCTTTGGCCCACATCACTCCATTCACACCACCTATAGGCACCTCCTCATGTGCTCTTGTATGCAATATACAGGGAGAGTTAGGTCCTGCTGCTTGATTACAGGAAAGAGCAGGAAACAGATTCTATGTAGCTATGTGGGGGGAGGATCACAGAAGCCATCCCACTGTCCTAGAACAGATTAAACTCTTGCAGGACCTGCTGGGACAGCATGTTCAATTAGGCTAAGCTGGCTGGCAAACGCTCCTGGCTTCTTAGCCCAGATCCTGTCAGTGATGTGTGAAGTGTCGCATCTCTCTACTGCAGCTTCCCTTCTGTGAAAAAGTCATTAGCTCAATCTACCTACTTTACAGGGGGATTGGGAGGATTAGTGTTGTTATAGTTCTATGTTGTTTCACTCAACGCGCTCTCCTTCTCCTACCTAAGCGTTGAGATTTTTTTTTCCCTAGTATGATCAGCTATATAGTAGACAGAGTTGAATCCTCAGGGGAGAGCATACTTGCACACAGTTCTACTTGCCTATAAGATCGTCGTCATCAAGGTCAATTTCAAGAGCCTCTGCAGCTTGCTGGAACCAAGAGTTGTGCTGTTTTGCCCGGCTGTTGTAATATTCCACCTTCTCAATCTGCCTTGCTAAATTCACCCGCTCCTGCAACAAAAGCACAGCAGTATGTAAGCGCGGAGAGTGGGATGGCTGTAGAATCAGCACTTGACAGCATGTGTTGGAACACAGTGATGTAAAAGTCTTGCAAAGGCAGGAACAAAAACAAGCAGAGAAATGCATGAAACAGGCTTTGTATCTAACACGTGATTTACTGTCTCGCATAGGCATGGTGTTTGTATGACGTCTAGAACAATGGGGCCCTGGTACATGACTAAGACTCGTAGGCACTACGGTAACAGAAATAATTCTAGTTCTCAGGTAATGCACAAATGAACACTTACTCGTAAGCAGTCTACCTTAAGGAGTTGTGGGGACACAAATATAGGGACATTCTATAGAAGTTAGGAATAAATCAAAAGCCCACTTGCCATTACTTCTCAACCGAGGTATAATGTAGTACAACTAATTTAGATAACTAACTTGGAATAGAGGGGAAATTGGCACCATTATTGAATAAAACTGAACAATAAGATTCTCTCCCTAGCTTGCAGCTCCCCAGATTGCAAAAAAGACTGTATGCTGGACATGCTGACTGAACTACTCCAACTATACTGAATAGCAACACACAACAAACAGCATAGCTAGGACACTTATTAAATCAGAGAAGTAAAATTAACCTTGAAATAATTATTGGCAATCAGCCATTGACTCTCAGCTCATTACAGGAACCTTTAAATAGCTTTTTATCATTTCCATATAACTTGAGTCCTCTACTTGGCCCTCTGCCATTAGTGGTTTGCTAAGGTCCTATCAAGTCTCTGTTGTACCAAGAGGTGTAGCATTACTTACGAAATTCAGACAGCTCATCACTTTTTTTTCAATCTTTAGATCCCAGTGTTGTTTTCAACAAAGGTCAGTATCAATATGCCAATTTTACAGATGAGGAAACTGAGGTAGAGAGAGGTAAGTGGCATGCTGGGTGATCTTGGGCATGTCCATAACAGATCTGAGAATGGAACCCTTGTATCTGGAGTCCCAGCCAGTGCCTTATCCATCAAGTATCAGAGGGGTAGCTGTGTTAGTCTGGATCTGCAAAAGCGACAAGGAGTCCTGTGGCACCATATAGACTAACAGATGCATTGGGCTTTGGAGCATAAGCTTTTGTGGGCAAAGATCCACTCCGTCAGATGCATCTGACGAAGTGGGTCTTTGCCCACGAAACTTATGCTCCAAAGTCCAATGCATCTGTTAGTCTATAAGGTGACACAGGACTCCTTGTCGCTTTTACCTTATCCATAACAAAGGAGTACGGTAGACAAGGAATCTAGGGGTTATAGTGGACCTCTAGCTGAATGAGTCAGTGTGATGCTGTTGCAAAAAAAGCAAACATGATTCTGGATTGCATTAACAGGTGTGTTGTGAGCAAGACACGAGAAATCATTCTTCCACTCTACTCTGCGCTGGTTAGGCCTCAGTTGGAGAATTGTGTCCAGTTCTGGGCACTGCATTTCAAGAAAGATTTGGAGAAATTGGAGAGGGTCCAGAGAAGAGCAACAAGAATGATTAAGAGTCTAGAGAACATGACCTATGAAGGAAGGCTGAAAGAATTGGGTTTGTTTCGTCTGGAAAAGAGAAGACAGAGGGGACATGATAACAATGTTCAGGTATCTAAAAGGGTGTCACAAGGAGGAGGGAGAAACCTTGTTCTTCCTGGCCTCTGAGGATAGAACAAGAAGCAATGGGCTTAAACTGCAGCAAGGAAGATTTAGGTTGGACATCAGGAAAAAGTTCCTAACTGTCAGGATGGTCAAACACTGGAATAAATTGCCCAGGGAGGTTGTGGAATCCCCATCTGTGGAGATATTTAAGAGTAGGTTAGATAAATGTATATTAGGGATGGTCTGGACAGTATTTGGTCCTGCCATGAGGGCAGGGGACTGGACTCGATGACCTCCCTTCCAGTCCTAGTATTCTATGACATAGTACCTACCTTGCAGATAAGAAATTAAAGGGAAGCCATTTCGAGTGAGAGATGGAAGATATCGATAGAGATTAGGAAAACTAACTCTAGCAGTCCCAGCTCTGTTACCAGAGCCAAAGTAACATTTAATATAGGATGAGCAATTCCCCCAAACTACACAGACTTCCTGTAGGCTTCAGCTTCCAAGATTTTAAACCGTCATTTTTGTAATTAACATCAGTGGTTTTCACCTTGTAACATGGTCATGAGAACAATCATGCTAAGTAGTGGTGTAGGTTAGGCACAATAGATGAGGCCATAATTGCTTCAAATATAGCACACGCTCCAACTCACGTGTGCATCATTTGAGTAAAAACATTGCACATAATGAGAGATGAAAAGTGGAGGAGACAGAGACGGTGAATATATCTACCACCTAGGAGGTTTGTAAGTTAGACTGTGAAATGCTATATAAGCACAAAATAAAGTAAAAGCAAATTTCATTTCAGAAGCCACACTTGAAAGAAAAACTCTCAAGACAGGAATGATTTTGCCTCACTAGTAAAGTTTGAGAGAACTGATGGCTCCTGGAGACTTTGAAAGGAAAGCTTGCAGAAACAATTCTGTTTTCTCTCTTTAAAAGGATGTACCTCGTCTCATGTCAGTTCCGGTCTAGCAACCCATCTTTCAGGTAGCTTGTAACACGTGGAAATTCCTGGGTCTCCCATGAGAGCAGAGTACTACTGTGGCTGTTGGGCTGGCCATGTGCCTAGCCTTAGTGGTGAATATGCTAGGCCAGATATGAGGAGCATTCCCTACAGCAATTGAAAAAATTCTTCTCCCCCTCCCTAATCTTTTGGGTTGTACGAAGTTCAGTCCCTCTACTACTAGCCAACTATCACTCCAAGGTGACAGACAAGCATTATTTTTGTGCCATCACAACTATTAGACAATCCTCCTAGACTATGAAGCCATCATTGCTTCAGGACAGAAGGTATGTTTTGCAAAACTTTGCCATTATTTATTATTTCACCCTTTGTGATGCTGAACTGACATTTTGTGTAACCCAAACAACAGCTCAAAATGGCATTTATGTAGCTTTAGCAAAGGTTGAGTAGCAGATGTGACATTAGCCAGCACAGTCTGTACTGGGATATCAAAGCAGAGGATATAATTGTGGAAGTCCTGGATGTTGGGGGACCTAAAAGAGGTAGTGGTGGTCTAGCAGACTGACCAAACTCAAGTCCTATTTCCTATTCTGCTACTAACTCACTGAGGGATTTTGAATAAACTACTTAATGTACTGTTGTCTGTTTACCTACAAAAGGGATGACGATTAGGATTTTTTTAAAAGGTAAATTTATCATTTTTAAACTCCTATGACTGACATTGACCAGAATGGCCCGTGAAACATGATCACCTCTGTAAAGCATTTCAGAATCTATATACCACAAATTTATACAATTATGCAGAATTATTAAACAATGGACATTTAAAAAAAAACAGTTTGTGTGTTGAATGACTTAGTTAAATACATCCATTCAGCACATTGCTATTGAAGATGAAAGTTGATTAATTTTGTTTCCAAGTCACCTTGTGAAGCTCAGACTTACTCTGAAACCTTAATAAAACATGAAGAGTATTTCATTAAAAATGATATATGAGCAATCACTGGCATTGGAAATGTTTTTTTACCTTGATAGCAAACATGAATTTTGTTTCAACTGGAAAAAATGGAAGCTCTTCGTTCTTCTCTAATGTCTTATAAATCTTTTTAAAATTTAACACGTCATCAGGGCCAATCAACAGTAAGCTAAGGCCTTCGTTGGCTGCTCGAGCTGTTCTGCCACTTCTATGCACATAAATCTCTGAAGTGCGTGGAACCTGCAAAACATCTACAGTTAAAGGGCTCCCATTCATCAAAACAGTGTACATGACAGATAAGAAAATGCTTGCAACACTCAGACCCAGAGATGGCAAGCAATTATCTGATAAATAGTACCCATAACAAGAACTTCTTTGTTAATAACAATGACAGGAAGTGATTAAGGTACAGGGTGGGATTCTGGGAACATGTTCTAGACAAGAGGGAGGGGTGGGATTCTGGGATTCTGGGAACATGTTCTAGACAAGAGGTGGGCAATTTTTTATGGGGATCACTCCGAGAATTTGGAAAGTGGTCAAGGGACACATTCTTTCATATTAATGGAGGAGGTGAGGGATCTAGGATGGAGGGTGGGTGCAGAAGGGAGCTTGCAGTATTGGGGTGCAGGAGGGAGAATGGGAGGGTGAAGGAGGCAGTTGTGACCTGGGTGGTTGTGGTGCAGAGGTTTGGGCTGTGACCTTGGGCAGAAGGCAGTTGTGACCTGGGGTAGAGAGTCTGGGAGGGGGTATGATGTAGGAGGGGGAGCAGAGGTTTTGGGTTATGTAGGGTAGGAGGGCAGAGGGTTGGGGGAAGGGAAGGGCTGGGGTGCCAGAGGCAGGCTCTGGCTGGAGACTTATCTGAGTGACTCCCAGCCAGTAGCCCAGCATCCTGCCTGCCCCTCTACTGCATCACTGCAGTGACCATGTGGGTCTGAATAGCTGAGAGGAGGGAATGAACAAACAAACAGGCAGCTCCCGCTGGCTGGAAACCAGCTAATAGGTCTGTGCTGGGAGGGTGGGGGGCAGCGGCAGTGTGCAAAGCCTCTCCACCCACCCCTCTCCCAGGCTCACAGCTGTTCAAAGACAAACAGGACTTCACACTCACTTTTCTGAGTGGCATGCCTGAGGCTCCCTGCTGTATCCATGGGCTGGATCTGGAAGCTTGGCAGGCCACATTTTGCTCAGCTCTGCCAGTGACAGCTTGCTCAACTATTGGTGAATAACTCCTATTCCCTGAGCCTGTTACCCTATGCATAAAGCAAGGAAAAATTATACCCAACCTCAGACTCATTATGAGGTGGGGTCATCTGACTCCTCTGGAGTGGGACCCTGATACCTAAGTTCAGAATGTAAATGGGAAAGTGAGAAGAACTATAGCCATGACGGTGACTTCTTGTACGCAGTATGGAGAGTGTACCCTGACACTAGTGATAGTCACTCTTCAAATGGGTATAATTTATCTCTGTAAAGCACTCAGATCTTTAGATGCAAAAGGCTATAGAAGCATTAAATATGTGAGTTTTAATTTCTATACTTCTTTACTAGGGACTGAGAACCACTGTGTTACATTGTAGCTAGGTTTTGGATCAAAGATACCTTAGTTCAAAAGCAGACAATAGAAGCTTAAAAAGATTTTTAAAACCTGGTAATGGATGACATGCTGCACATTCGGAATATCCAGACCACGAGCTGCAACATCTGTTGTCAAAAGGACACAGCTGAAATACAGAAAGTGGGGATACATGCTATTCATTAAACGTAAACCTGTAATGTAAACGAGATGCCAATGAACACACAGTGTGAATGACCCAGACTTTTGCCAAAAGAATTTAAAGAGCATGCTCATTTAATAACCCCTATTAGGAATAGGCCATCTGTTTGAAAGTCAAGGAACAGAGATTTAAACATTGATCTACAGAAATCTTGAAATGTGAAATCCTGGAGAAGAAATAATACAACTGTTGCTGATTGTGGACCAGATACTATTCCTAATGAGGTCAATGGCAAAGCTGTCATTAACTTCAATCCTAGCAAGATCATGCCTGGCTATTCTTTTATCCTCTTTCTATTTCACAGAAGTCAGTGTGAAAAGAACTATTTGATCATCTAATTCAACTTACTGGCAGTGCAAGTCTGTTTCCCCCTACAAAACATTTTGCAGCTCTTTGTCCAGTTTAGATTTAAATATCTCATGAATTTACTATTGTTTTAGTACCAATAGTGCTGATGCTTTTGAAAAGGTAGACTATATACACATGACGTCTTTCGCTTGTATAAACACTGCAATGCAAAACTCTGTCCACTATAGACCTCTGTGTTCAAACACTTAGAATTTTCTGAACATAATTCCTTTTGGACTAAAAATATTTATATTGACTTGCCCTTGAGGAAACGGCATTTAGCCAGTTCTGAACTTTGGAGGTGGGGGGGGGGGGGGGAAGTGTATTCTGACCACTAGATTTTGTTCATGCAAATAAGTCGAACCAATGCATTTTCATGCCAGCCATTTCTTGTGTTTTAGAGGTGCCTTTCTGTGAGTCTGTCTGCAAATCCATTTGTTCAAGAACTCCTCCTAAACCAGGGGGGCCACTTCACAAATTTCTGAAGTGGTTGTGGGCTTTGGGCAGAAGGGGTGGGGCCAGGAGGCTTCCCGTGCTTGCCTGCTCACAGACCCTGATTGGCCTGTGATGTGACGAGCATGTGAAGTCCTTGCCCCTGCCCCCAGCACCAAGAGAGAACTGCCAGCTCCCCTATCCCCAGGTGTCGATTGGCCTGTGAGCAGGGAAGTGGTAGGGCGGCTGAGGGCTGGATCAAGCAGCTTGGTGGGCCAGATTTGACCCCCGGAGGCTGCCTTGCCCACCCTTGGGGTAAGGGATTTGGGTGCAGGAGGACTTGGGAGGGTGTTTGGGTGAATGAGGCATTTGTGACCTGGGGCACAGGATTAGGGTGCAGGGGTTTGGATTGTGACCTGGTGCAGGAGGGGATGCAGGGGTTTGGGTTGTGACCTATGCACAGGATTGGGGTGCAAGGGTTGGGGCTGTAACCTAGGGCAGGGGACTGGGGTGCAGGAAAAGGTACAGAGGTTTCGGTTGTGGCCTAGTGCAGGAGGGGATTGTGATCTGTGGCAGAGGATTGGGGTGCAGGGTCTGGAAGGGGGCAGAGGGTTTGGCTTATGTGGGATAGAGGGGTTGGGAGGGGCTGGGGTGCTAGAGGCAGCCTCTGGCCGGGACCACATGCTCTGTGAATAACAGCCTGAGGGAAGGGGGTGCATAGTACTTGGCATGTTGCCTGTTTTTTAAACAAGCAGCTTCCACTGGCCAGAAACCGGCCAATGGGATTGTGCTGGGGACAGCAGCAGTCACTCCTCCCCTCCAGACTCTCAGTTTGCAGAACAAACAGCCCAGTAGCCACTTTTTTGAGCAGGGGTGTGGGAGATCAGGGAAAGCGGGGGATTCCCCACTGCGTTCGCGGGCCAGATCCGGTAGCTTGGCAGGCTGCATCCAGCCCCCAGAGAGTATTTTGCCCAGGCCTGTCCTAAACAGTAAGCACTAGGGCCACTACACTTGGTATGCAGCTTCCTCTTGTACTAACTTAAAGCAAGGTCAGGGTTTGGTTGTGACAGGAAAACAGGATGTGCCTGGAATTTAATTGTTTTCCATAACATGGGAAGTAGTGACGTTAAAATATTTATTTTTGTAAACGTGGAACTGCAGAATTTTTCAGCAGTTCCATGTTTGCACACAGGGGGATAGGTGAGAGCCAGTACTCACTGGGAGCCGGCTTTCCACCAGGGTGCAAATCATTTCCAGCTGTGTAGGCATTGTTGTTGTGGACCCTTATGTGTCATGAGTTGAGATGGTGGTCTCAGTTCATATCACAAAGGCCACTGAACAGCTAACAGATGACAACAATTTTCAGTTTTTACCAGCTTACATTAGATTTGAACTGGTGACTGTGACAATTTCTAGAACTGAGTCTTACAGCCAATGCCCTGAACCATCTGTCATCTCCTTCCTCCCCCCATAGTCAGGATTTTTTTTTTTTTTCTTTTCACACACACCATTTTTCCATGACAGAAAAATCAACTACTCCTTCCTCCCCCCATAGTCAGCATTTTTTTTTCTTTTCTCACACACCATTTTTCCATGACAGAAAAATCAACTTACTTCTCTCGCTCAGCAAACCTTTCCAAGTTTTTTAGCCTTTGCTTCTGGTGCATGTTTGCATGCAGAGGCAGGGGGTTACAATCCAGGATTGTGAGGAGTGCGCTAAGGCGCTTTATGCAGTCTATGCTGTTTGCAAAGACCATGGTTCTTCCTGGGTACTGAAGCAAAAAATAATAGAGGTAATAGTCTTTATCATCTGTGTCACAGTGGATCCTGGTTTCAGTCAGAGTCTCTACAGTGGCCTCTTTTCTTGTTAAGTCTATCACTTTAGGTTTGCCTCTTATCCCCACTTTGTCCATTAGCATTTCCAGTTTGGTCTTCTGGTCTATTTTTTTAGCATATTTCTTTTGTAAAACTCTTGTGGGAGCCTGATGGACCAAAGTCAGCGTGGCAGAAAACACAAAAGTCTGACGTTGAGGATTATATTGTGAATCATTTAACATTTCCAGCAACTGAGAGAGTTCTAAGAAATGTCCCCTTTCAACCATTCGGTCTGCTTCATCAATCACGAGGCACCTGTTGGACAAAAGACAGGCCCAGTATAGAAGCATAGTGGTTACTTTAGAGACACAGAAATGACACTTCAAAAGAACCTTTCTTGCCTTTCCCCATAGAAAATATAAAGAAGTCTAGGCATGCAGGGTAATTACAGCAGCTGTCTCTGTTCTTCTTTGAAAGATCAAAGTTCACAGGCAACATTTAGGTTTTTTGGTAATAGAGTTGACATCCCCCATTCTCAATGTAATGAGTATGAACTTTAGTAGGACCTTCTAGCAAAGACGCAAGTGCTCTTGCACATTCAACATTAGTTAATCAGTAAGTAATTAAGCATGTTCAGAGATACTAGATAGTCTTTCCTGGAGATATTAATTCTGAGTAGTTAGACTAAAAGCCACATTTACCTGAGCTGGCGGAGATTTGAGAGATGAGGGTGCTTCTCCTTAATTAACTCCCACAGACGACCTGGGGTTGCAATTACAATTTCTGGCTTCTGATTCAATACTCGTTCCTGTTTCTGAGCAGCCATACCACCGACTAGAATTGCAGTTTTAATTCCTAGAACACAAAAGGTAGCATGATGTGGCCCATGGAGGGTTAGTTTACTTTAGTTATTTCTTACTGGAAAATATCCTCCACAAGACAGGAAGGAAAATGGACTTATTCCATACAACGCTGCAGCTTTGGGACATCATTTAATAAGTCTTCATCTAGACTGTAATTTTCTTTGACCAAGTACTGTCTCCTCCTCTTCCTTGTACAACATTAAGCATATGGTCAGTATTATAGTGAAATGCTACTTATAGAAAGAGGCCAAAATAAAATGATACCTGTTG